ATTCCTGCAGCTTTAAATCAAATCAGTGTCATATCTATTGCAAAATATTTGGGTTTTTTTTGCATTATAGGGTTCTTGGAACATGGAAGGAAATAAGCTTGTAGGAACATTTACTAGAAAAGATAATGGAAAAGCACTCACAGCATACAGAGAAATCATAGGTGATGAACTTGTTCAGGTGAGTTAAGCAGCCACTTACATAAAACTTTACAATATAATAAACTGAAAAAATGTTAAAGGCTGTTCTGAAAGTAGGAAATATTTTCTTCAAGCCAAATAACCTCCTTTATCTTTAGTTAAAATTCTTGAGTCGAGTAATCTATTGAAATTTAAAACTTTAAAATAAAACTCACAACCTGTGATTTTTACATTTTCTACCCATGTGAGCTGTATCTTATCAATGCATTCTGAAGCCTGTGAATACAAGCTGTATACAGAAGATATATATACAGATAGAGATATATATACACACTATATAGATGCGTTCTGACTGAAAGCCTTTTTCCAAGTGTCTGCCTTGTAAAAGCCTTACCGCAGGAGCTTACTACAGGGTAATGCTGTCAATGGCTGATAAATGCTCTTTTAAAACAAAGTTTGGGGTTGGGGCAGGGGATGATGGCACGGAGGGGTAGGTTTCAGACAAAAGGGAAGTGTTTCACAGCTCTGCAGTAAAGCCAGAAATGGAACTGAATTGTAATGCTTTAAGACCCTCTCCACTAGCAGGTCACAAGCTTCTTAAAAGAATAAATAAAAAAAAAACCTTTATGGACAGGTGTGAGATTTGAGATAGAAAAGACATACAGTCCAACCCTTCAGTGCTTCTTCACACTTCTAATAGAAGCAATCACATAGACGAAACTTGTTAAGTAGTGGTATTGGGCATACAGCACTTCAGCACTTTTGTTTTTTTCCAGAAGCCCCCAAAAGCTGTCCTGTGGCAGTTCAACTGTTTGCACAGAGAATTTATGCTTATTGACAACAGGCTGCTTTCCTTACGTTCCTTTCCTCAGAGCCTGCACAAGGGCTGGTAGGCTGCACACAGCCACCAGTCACAATTAATTAAATCACTATTGACCATCTCTCAATAGCATCTGTGAAACAGAAACTTTGTAATAGCAGCCACTGATTTTTCTTTTTCATTTCTTAACAGACCTACATATATGAAGGAGTTGAAGCCAAAAGATTCTTCAAAAGGGGCTAAGTACGTCACTCAGAACTGCACCAGAATAAAAAAAGAATGAAAAAAGACCATTTTTCTACATATCCTCTGCTTTTTTTTTCCCCCCTTTTATACCCTCAGAGCACCTCCTAAGCTATTACTTGGCCCTGTTGAAAACACAGGCTAGTTCCTTATATTTACTGTTTTGTCTTGAATAAACAAAATCCAATTACAATTCAATACAAATGCTAAAATGTTATTTGTACCAAGTCCTAAATGTCATACTGTAAAAGGCTGCAGAAACTGTTTTCTGTAAGAAGAACTTAAATATTTTTTTGCACTGGTTCTCAAATGGCAACTTGGTTTCCTTACCATAATATTTATATTGATAAAGGGTTTCTCTGTGTATTGAATATTGTGTAATAAGGATGGCAAAACCTAAAAGAAACCTGACAACACCCAAGTCTCTAAGACTATTCTATGTAAATATAAATATGGAATAAATATAAAATATAGTGTGATAATATAGTTCACTTGGAGGACTTAAATGATATCCCATTGGTACCTTGCTCATATAAATAGGAATAACATAAAGCATGTACTGATGACATACGGATACCTCACATAAAGTAATTTCATTGCATTAATTTCTCAAAGCATGACTATGCTTTGAAACATGCAGATTTTGAGTTGTCCCAATTTATCAGGAGCTTAAATCATTCTGCGTCAGGAAGAGTATTAGCAGGCTCTGACTGAGTTTCTTTCAGGACATGAATAAAAATATTGACAGTATCTTAACACAATAATGATTTCAGACTACATTGACTTCAAACACTGGTGTTTCTGATGGGTAAAAAATATGCACCATATTCTGCTCAAGTTGTCCAATCTGTAAGTGCTATTTTCAACCCAGCCTCACCTCGTGTTGTGCTACTTCCTAAGGCTTGCAGTAAAACTGCCTCTCAAGGGTCAGCGCTAGTTAAGATTTGCTGTGTCCCTCCAACTATGCCTCTTGGTGGTCATCTAGTCCTGTCCCCATGCCTACAGGGCAGCCCACTTCCCAGCCCTGGACGCTTTCTGACACATCAGCAGAACAAACCTGTGGGCTGCTGGCAAAGGCTGTTGTCCTTCAGCAAATATGCCCCGAGGTCTTTTTTTGGCTTCTGAGCTTTTTGCAATCATGCTTCTACTGCCATAGTTCGAAAAAGATTGATTCCTGTAAGGCTTTGCTAAAAGGTCACAATACCACATGGGCCTGAGGGCAGCCCTGAGGCCTAACCCAAAATAAATGCAGCCATACGTGTAAAGTCTCACAGCACTTCACCACAGAATTCCCCGATGATGGTAAACTGCTAGATGAACTTTTGCTGTGTGTTTATTCACATGTTGTTACAGGTCCAATTTCAAATACCATTTCTGAACGGATACGTTTATATTATGATTTTAATGGGTTTTTAAAATACCTTGTAAAATTTACTCCCCTGTTTTCTTGGCTCTCCTTGACTGTCTTTTCGCTGGCCATAAATGAATAAAAGCGAAAAACATTTTTTCCTTCAGTTTTTATAACTGAATCCTTTCTTAGCCTGTATTTTTGTGGTCTTCAGCATCCCATTGCTCCCCCTACTGCCAAAATGCTCTCATGACGCAAACAGTATTCGAGTAGGAAAGATCCCCCTTCTTTATGAATTTGGATTTCTTCCCCCAAATACTGATTGTATGTAACTTCCAGTGTCGACATGTTTTACAAAATCATCTTTCAGTGGGTAGATATACGACATATGTCACAATGAAGAGAATACTACTTTAAACAGTCCTTCAATTTTCAATTACAAAGAGATGAAAAGCAAAGGTATGAAAAAATAAAAAAACCCCACCAAACAAAACCAACACCCTAAAATCTGGAAACAACACTATTACAAAATTTTGTCTATCTCTAGACTATCTTGTTTATATACTAAAGCTTTCAAAAGAGAGAGGGATAAAGAATAATGGCTTGCAACAAAGCTATGGGGCAGATTATATATAGGATTATTATATAATTTCATATATATAACTACAGCAGTTAAGCTGTGTGCACTGAAATGGCAGACTAAACTGTAAGACAGAAGCGCTAACCATCAAAGTGCTGTTATAGAGTTTGACCTTTGTTATCAGCTGCATGCCATTACTGCTTATAAATTGCAAGTGTAAGTATTGTATTGGTAAGTATATTAACAATTACATGTCAAAGGTTTCAGAAAGTTGGTGAATGTCATTTTATTTCTTTTTGTGACTTTACTGGCTGGAATGAAAGCTGTATTAAGTTTCTGGATGTGTTCTCTCTTTCTTCCCCGAGTATGCCGATCCTTTAAGCCTTGCACCCTTCTGGTTCAGAAGGTTGAACTCTAGCCCATGCCTGATGCACTCAAGGTATCTTTGCACTTACCTCTGCCACATCCAGCCCAGTAACACCCTGAGATTCATGGTTATTTTGATCTAGGTCACCAGATTTGTTTGACTGATTGGTTACAATAATCAGTAGGGTATTTTTTTTGTCAAGTATTTGAGAAATTATATCTTAGTTAATTCTGGACGACATACAAGGTCACAAACTGAAAAGTAATCTAGTAATTATTCATTAAAAACAAAAAAAAGATGAGAGCTCAAAAGTATTTAACAACTCCAAATACTGCGGACAGATATGGTCAGCAGCTGTATGTAAAAAATAAGGCAAAATCTTTAAAGATTCCGTCTCCAATACTTGCGATAAGATCAATTATAAACGGATGGAGGAAAGTAGTACAGCTTCAGTAAACTAACAAATAAGATCGTTATATTAGAACGTGAATGAGATAGCCTATTAAGTTTGACTAGGGGACCTTTGTTTCCTAGGCAGGAATTTCAGAATTACACTACTTTGAAAGCTAATAGGAAATCGTTTGCCGACAATCTGACGGTTCCTTTTGCTCAAATGAGGCAATACAGCTGGGTACAAGACTTGAAGAGGAAGTATTGTCATTGTTTCCCAAAAAAATCTCTAATATATGTCACGTAACACATATGCTTAACAAATACTTGTTATATAAATGCAAGTTCATCCTTATTTTTAATGATAAATTAACTTAAGGAAAAAAGCTACCCCTAAGTGCATCTTTACAAGAAGTTAAACTGATCAGATACACCTACTCTGCATTCTGTACTGTCTTTTCTCTTAATATGAGGCTAAAAAGAATTAATAGCTACAATGAGGAAGATTTTGGTTTGTATACTCCTAAGTTTCTGGCCACTCTTGTAGACATAATGAAAATAATTGCACTCTTTTCAATACTGAGTGAACTGGCTGGACTGAGGGTAGTACATCCCAACTGTGAGTATGGTATGAGTATGCACATCAGGTTGTGCAGCTTAATTTAATTGCTTATGCATCTGCGAGTTGTGTAAATAAAGCACACAGTATACATTGTCTACATTAACTTTTCCATGTTTGTTTAGGGTGTACAAGCTCCAACTAACCTTCAAGGATAGGAGCATATATTAAAACAATTTTAATCTTCGTCAACTTCTTCACAACAGGATTTCCCAAAAGGTCTTTTAGTTTCTTCCAGGGCATCATCTGCTCCCCAAGAAACCCTATCAGGAAGAACTTTTGAATGTTTATTTCCACACATCTTCCAATACAGCTTAACAGAACAAGGCCAACACGGTTTGACAGAACTGACCACCTGCTTTTCCCCACACCCTGTCTCACCTGCCCAAGCGCCCTGAGGACTGGCAGGGAGCAGCAACCAGTAGTGCTCAGGTACTACCGCAGAGATGTCAGTCACCAGCTCAGAGAGAGCCTCCACAAGCATCACTTCTCCCAGCACCAGCAGAAGCAGGAGCTCTCGCCATGACCAGTGTCTTTACCACACCAGCCCGGCGTGGCGTCGCCATTTGGCGCCTCAGCAGTGAGCGGGAAAGGGGCTGCCGCGACGGCAGCCC